AAAGGGTCTGTTGTCTGTCTGTTGGTATCATGGCTTCGATTTCAGCCATCTCCTCCGTCTTAGTCTTACTACACCACGGAACTGCACTCTTTGAATGAAACTATGGGCGGAACAGCTTCAGGCTGTCTAAACCTAGTGGGAAGAGATTAACTATGGGCTATAGTTAGTAAGTACTAAGTAGGTATATGCATGACATAACTCATATATAGTACTGTACAGAATATATATATATATATATATATATATATATATATAATAAACAACACGAGTTCATACAACTTTGCCCTACAGGCTACAGATATGGTTGGACCCAAGAAAAGACAGGAATCCTAGAATGTCACAACTGGCTGTTTAATATTATTCCTCAATTTAAAGAAAATGGCAACAAGTCAAAAATTATAATAAAAGACCAAAGATGGGTTCGACTTTAACGCACGTTATTTTAAAAAGGTTCAAATTGAAATATTCTACATTTTATTTTATGTATACACACATGCATAATATATAATTATATATTTTGTACAAAAAGAAGAAAGCAACTCACTATAGTATCTATAATTATTTTATTTCCCTATATATAATTATTTTATTTCATATTTATCATTCAAGGACAATTTTTTGTTCATGCAACTCACTATAGTATATATAATTATTTTATTTCCCTATATAGTTTTGTTCAGACTGGGCTGGACGTTTTGAAGTGGTGGTCTATCTAGTAACCCAATGACCACTCGGTGTGCCAGTTAAATAACGGTTTTCATGGTTTGAACGGGCTAACCGACCAGGAAACCATTAAAAGCGTGACCCAACTGTGAGTAATATCCCCGTTTTATCATAAAACAGTCTGGTACGAAACTGGACCGGCCTGGCATGGCATGGCATGGCCCGACAGCCTGCGAGCCATGCCAGGTTCAGCACGATGGTCCGTGCTGTGCTGAGTCGGGGTTCGTAGTTCACGGGCCAGCACGACATGGCCCAAAGGGCCCATAAAAGGTCGTGCTCTGCCAGTTCAAAAACTAGCCGTTGGGGGCGTGGGGGTCCAACGGCTAGTTTCAGCTTTTTGGGGAGCATTTTACATAAATACCCCCCCTAATAGCTATAAACAGCTATATAGGAGGGTATTTATGTATTTTGTTTATGAAGGAGAGAAAAAATGATACAAATGCCCCCCCCCCTCCCCCTCAACAGTTATATAACAACTAGTTTAGGGGGGGTTAGGATAAATTTATAAATAACTTTACAATGACTAAAATACCCCTCCCAGCAACTAAAAAATAGCTAGTTTTTTGGGTATTTTAGGCAATTGAATTATGTTCAATTCCTATAAATAGCCCCTGTCTTCCATCAATCTCATCACACCAATTCAACAATTGTCTTAATTTCTTCTTTCTCTCTCATATTCATACATTCTATGCAATCTAAGTAACTCTGATTGGTTGATTGTCCGATTCTCCAATTCTCAATTTTATTGAAGTTTCAACAAAAATAAGGCTTGCTCAACCAGCTCAAGTATCTCAATTTGGGAGGCTTGGGCATTGAAAGGTTTTAACTGTTAAAATCAAGTTGGGATTTTGAACTGGCAATTCGGATAAGTCCAATTAAATTAATTTTTATCTTTTTAGAATTAAAAAAATGGTTAGCTCTTCCTAAAACCGATTCCCTAACATGTTCACTGTTAACGATATTCAATTGCATCATGATAATTCAATTGCATCATGATAGTGTTAGCACTGATGCTATTGATATTGATGGAAGTGGAACTTTCACCCCTGGTACTGATACTAGGGGAAAGGATATTGAGGGGAAGGGAAAAAGAGTAGTTTGCCAAAAATGTAGAAAAAACTTTAACTATTGTAGCAAAAGTGGTATTGGCCATTTGAGCAGACATTTGCTCACACATGAAAAGGAATAAGGAAAAAAAAGAAGAGAAACAACACACACAAATTAGGAGGGGAAGTTTTGGTACATTTAAATATCCACAAGAAAAAATGAGACAAGAATTAACAAAATACATTGTACATGCAGAACAACCATTTATGTTAGCTAAAGACACTAAGCTTGAAAAATGGTTGTATAATTCTATAAATCCACAATATAAAAAGTTTTTAGGAATACTATTAGATCGGATGCTTTAAAAATTTTTTATTCATATAAACAAAATTTAATTTATTTGTTATTAAATCTTAATTCTAAAGTTGCAATTACTTCTGATGTTTAGACATCTAAATTTAACAGAAGTTATATTTGTGTTACTGGCCATTTTATTGATGAAAATTAGCTTTTAAATAAAAGAATTTTAAGTTTAATAAGTTTGAATGGCCACATAATGGCCCAGCTATTGCTGCAAGCATTTTAAATACTTTACATGCTTATGAAATGGAAAATAAATTATTTTCTATTAGTTTTGATAATGCTAGCAATAATGATTTTGTAATAAATATTTTAAAATCTCAATTAAAACCATGTTTAAATGGTAAATTATTTCATATCAGATATGCATGTCACATCTTAAATTTATGTATTCAAGATGCCTTAAATATTATTTATACTCGTATTTCTAAAATTAGAAATTGTATTATATATATTAAAAGTTCAGGGGCAAGAAAACAATAATTTAAATATTTATGTCAAAATTATGGTTTAAAATATAAACATTTTATATTAGATGTAAAACATAGGTGGAATTCTACCTATGCTATGTTAGAAAGTTGTATTTCTCATAAACAAATTCTTACTGATTTTTATAATGCAAAAATGCCTAATGATATTATATTTGAGGAAGATTGGGAAATGGTAGTTTGTATAAAAGATTTTTTAAAATATTTTTATGATGCAACTAATGAATTACCAGGTATTTATTATCCAACTAGTTGTAATTTACCTTACCAATTAATGGCAATTAGTGATTGTTTTGAAAAATATAGAAATAATTCATAATTTAAATGTATTATGAAAATAATGGAAAATAAATTTAAAAAATATTGGGAGAACATTTCTCCCTTTTATTGTTTAGCTATAATATTAAACCCTAAGATTAGGAAATATGGTTTAGATATTTTACTTGAAACGTATTGTGAAAAATATGAATATTGAAATTGGAAATAAAAAAGAAGAAATTAATAATTTGTTATTTGACATGTACAGTTTATATGAATCTGAAGCAGTAGGAAATATTCTTACAACTTGTACAGCATCTTCTACTTTTGATCTTAAGCCCAATAGTAGAAGAGAAAAACTTTTTTTATTTAATAAGTAGAAGGTAGAAATCTGCTACTTCTACAACAAGTTCATTTACTGAACTTAATTTTTATCTACAAGCAAATTTTTCTAGTTTAGGTGAGGGAATAAATAATTTTGATATTTTAGCCTGGTGGAGTGAACATTCAAAAAATTACCCAGTTCTTGCCCATGGCACGTGATCTACTAACCCCTTCGGTGTCTACAGTTCCATCGGAGTCTTGTTTTAGTGCAAGTACCAGAGTGTTGGACGACAAGAAAAGATGCATGAATGATGAAAGTATAGAAATGTGCATCTACTTTAAAGATTGGCTAGATGCAGAAGATAGATTACAAGACAGAGGGCATGATACTACATCGGATTTTTCACCTGAAGCAGATGATGAAATCATGATTCATGAAGTTGATTAGTTGTATAGAAATTTTTTTTTTTTAAATTATTGTAAATTTTTTAATTTTATTTAATTTATTTGCTATTTTTTTTAACAATCATTGTATTTGTAATTTATATCATTCAAATTTAAATGAAATAAAATTCCTATTTTTCTTCCAATTTGTTATTCCATCATTCTTATTTGGTTAAGTATTTTTTTTTATTTATGTGTTAGATAAATTAGATTTCTCATTTCTTAATTTTTCAAATAGTTCTCAAAGTTCAAAGGAAAGTTAAATATTTTAGTTTTACACTTTTACTTTTCTAAATCAAAAATTTCAAAACAAAAACAAAAAAAGTCAAAAAAATCAATCTAATATGATTCGGCCCAAGCCCAATGGGCCTACGGCACAGCACGGGCCTGGATCATGGGCCGTGCCGGGCCAACCCCCAAAATTTTCACCAAGGAGGGCGGTACAACCCACTTTACACCTCTAGTTTTATGTCAGGTCGGAGTCTTTCGGCATTGCTTTTGTCGTTTAATAAAACAATGCATTAAATGGAAAAAGGGTGTTTATAGAGGAGTGGGTATAGTTCGGGCCAGTACCAAGGGGAAAAATTCCCGATTCAATGGAAAAAGGGTGTTTATAGAGGAGTGGGTATAAATATATTTGGGAAATCAATAAAACAATTCTGAGGATTGCACTACAAGAAAGTAGACATTTAGCTACAGACAAAACCGTAGCTACAAGTCTAAAAAACCGTATGTGATGTTCGCTATAGGTTATAACTTCAAATGGTAAGGTCCGTAGCTAAAAGTTGCCTTTAGCTACGGTTATTGTCCGTAGCTAAAATCCAAGATCACAACTATTAATATCTATAGCTACGGACAAAAAATGTAGCTAAAACCACCTATAGATACGGTTTCTATGTTGCCCGTAGCTAGATGTTCTATAATGTGATAACCTTTAGCTACGGATTTTGAAGGTGGCCGTAGCTATACCACAATAGAAGTAGAGAAAAAAAAAATACCTATAGCTACGGATTCTGTAGTATCTGTAGCTAAATGTTATAGCCCATATTAATCTTTAGTTACGGATTTTGAAGGCATTTGTAACAAAAGCCAGGATATAGTGGCGGTATAGATCATAAAACTGCTACTATAACTATATCCCAACCATTGTTGCAAACTTATGGTGGTATTTTTTTGAGACCTATAATGGCAATTAAGATCGCTACCATAGCTTATATTTTTAAGAAATATTATATATTTATTAAATTTAAAAAAGTAAAAAAGTGAGATGTTCCCAATGCACACTGAGATGTGCTTATGGGGCACCATCTGTGGGGCATAGGTCCATTCGTACATTACATAAAACCTTCACACAAATTTCTAATAATAGAATCCATTATAAAAAGTAAAAAAGTTACATCTCAAGTACAATTTGCATACATCCATAGGTTCAAAATACATTATAAATTTCAAACTGCTTGAAGATCTACAATTAACATTTGAAAATCTGATCCAACATGTCTCCATCCAAGCATCTAAAGTTGCTCCTTCAGTTCAACCTATAAAAATATAACAAGAAAATATTAGAATTCCATGAAGTGGTTTTATGAATTTACCACTCAAACAATTCATAATACAAACAAATTGCAACATTAACTCAAAAAATCTTGTCAATTTATAGTTATTATTTTGTAAAAAAAAAAATAAATACAATTTGTAAGCCATCTTTGCAATGCAACCAATTATTTCTCAAGTAAAATGAAGAACCTACCAACACTAGAAACTAAAAGAGAAGTGTCATGAAGACCTACCATAACTAGGTGCTCACATTTGGTTCCTCAAAGTGCCATAAGAGCTAATGCTTTAAAACTTCTAGAAGAAAAATTGTTGAAGTGCTAGTAGGCAAGACTCCAGAGAAGATAAAAATTAAAGGCATAGATCTCAAGAGAAATAGGGCTCCATCCAATTGAAGCTCAGCTATATATATTTTGACCTTAACTTATCCTCCCGACTAAAGTTTGTTAGGTTTATATCAAGAATCTTTGATACTACATTTGACAAAAAAAATTGCTTACTAATTAATCTAGTATTCCATCTTTTGCGATTTGTGTAATCAAGTCATTGACTTCAATCAAGCTTAGCTAAGTAGGACTTAGTCCATAAATGCTACACTCAGCTAAGCTTGAAGCCAATCAAGGGATGGGGCAGAGCAGGGTGCATGCGATTCCTACTAGCCATAACATGGACAACCGTTTTGTGGATTTGCTTCCACACCTCCTACTTGGAGGGGTGCTAAGTGACCATATCAACAACTAAATCTATGTTTTGTTGCTTCATATTTAATTTTCTCCTTAAAATTTCCACATAATACCCACTTATCAAATATCCAACAATGTTTGAGTTATAAACGGACAGCTTTTAATTAATATATTAATAATTGTTTTAAGTGACAAGGGATTTGCTTCTTGGTTCAAATATTTTCAGTCAATATTTATTTTAGTTCTAAAAATGTGTAATAGATGTATAATGAAGAAATCAGCATAGAAACCATGAGTTCTAGAATATGCATGTTCTCATCTATGCTTTCTAAACTGTTTACAATGGGGAGAGAATTATATATATATTTTTATGGATAATGAGAAAAGCTGATTAAAATTAAGATCAAAGAAAAATCCAGAGCACCCTTTACATCAGGGGTAGAACCCCGCACCCCTTACATTAGGGCCATATGGAGTTGGAGGTATGGTTATCAATCAATATGGATCATCTGAGTCATTCTAAATGGGCCACCATCAAATCAAATCAGTTATATTTTATAGATTATATGAGGCTGCACATCACTTTATGATTATCCTCCAAAGGATAGTAGCTAATTGGATTAAGACAAACCACTGACAATAGATCTCTAGGAATGATAGAGATGTGAAGACTAATTCCATGCACATGAAATTTTCTAATAAAAAAGGTAGTATGCCATTTTCACCAAGTACCAATGTATGCATTTGAGATGAGTGTGCATAATTGATGACGAAATTGCCAAATGCAATACTGCCAAGGAAGCTGGATTAAGAAAAATCACTCAACCAATTGGGTTGTTGGCCCAAGTCACTCAATTAAAAATAGAAAGTGATACAGAGCTTTGGATCTCTCTTGCTGCCATGTTCCTTCAGTAGTTGTTAACCAATGAATTTCTTAAGTCATTAATGTAAAGCTATAATCGTGCCAAGTGGAAGGTTGATTTAATCAAATCCAAAACATCTATCTAGTTGGGGTTCCTTAAGATTGGCAGCACCAATGGTTTATCCATGTCAGCTTCAAACCTTAAAAGTTACAAGTTACAATCTATCATGGACCCATCTATCTATCCTCTCTTGCGTTCTCAAAATTTATATTAATTCCCCACATTGCCTAAACTTTTGCTTCCTTAGTCTTAGCATTGGTTGCTAATTAAGAACTTCAAATTTATTGGTATTTTTATACATAGTTCTTATTTTATAAGTAACCATCAGATTTATTAACTAAAACAGTAAAATAAAATATATACGAAGTTTACATACACCTTTAGAAGGACAGTCTTTGCTACCTCTCCCCCCTTATGTATAATTTACAATTGAACCCAAAAGACACTGATCCCTGCCCAATCCTTGTTTCTAAAGCACCATCCATACAATTTTCTGACCTTGTATACACCTTTCTTAAGCATGAGATTTATTATATAGTATTTACCCTTTACATTTCGGGGAGCAAAACGATTTGAAGTCCTAATGACTCAACAAAGGCTGCAAAACTTTTCTAAATCCAAGGAAAGAATGGCTTAAAATTTTCTTAGTTTTTTCACTAATATATATTGAGAAATAACAGAAACTTAACAAAAATGCTGTATTTTATTTTTTCTAAAGCACCAACATTTCAATAATTTACTACCTCTTAGAGTCTCCTCAATAATTAAGTACTACCTCTTAGAGTCTCCTCAGCAGTCAGTGCAGAATCATGATACCAGTCAGGTGTTTCCAGATAACTTACTACAAGGCCAATAGTCCCCAGGCCAAAAACAACAATGGAACCTGGTTTTACCTTTGTTGTGTTCCAAACTGCCCCAAGACCTAAAAATAAAGATATATTTATTTGGACTACACAGGGAAGATGAATAATCATAAAATGGATTTCGAAATATACTAATTTCTAGAACCAATGTGCTCTTCTTCAATCAAATAAAACTATAACAGTTATTTACAATGAGGAAAAACTGATGTGATCATTTTGACAAAATGACAGAAGTAATTATGGGGTTTTGTGAAAAAAAAAAGGCTTAGATAGTGTGAAACCAGAAAATACCCTAAATAATTGGCCATGTTTAAGGGAATAAAGGAAAAAAGAAGTGATTTGTTCCTGTAATCTTACCACAACTTGTTTCAACGAAAGAGAAACCGTGCATTTCTTCATAGTTATCTTCTTCTCCATAGGTACAGAGTTATTACGCAAGGGTTTGTTGAGATAGAAAGATAGAGAGAGACCATGGACAGAGAGAAACCGCGAGAAAGAGAGAGAAGGTTTGTTGATGGAGAGATGGAGTGAAAGAGGAGAAGATAGTGAAGGTGGAGTTCATTGCAGGTTTTTCGCAATAGAGAGGCGAGGGAGAGAGACCACGCGGGAAGAGGAAATTCAATGGAGAGGGAAACTTCGTGGTAAGCCGAGGGTTATAATGAATCGGGCCTGACCGGGTTTTACACCCATCATATGGGCTATGGCTTAAGATCGAGCCAAGTTCTAGGCATGAAACCAATGTTTTAAATAGGGCTACTGTGCACGGGTTGGGTTGGATCGGTTTATTGGCGTTTTTCTAACCGATTCGATTTGGTCGGTTTACCTAAAAGTGAAACCGAAACCGATATGGTCGGTTTGAATCGGTTTGGGTCGATTTTGTAAATGATTCTTTCGGTGTGAACGTAAAGGATTCAAGTCTAACAAAGCAAAGGCTGGATGTCCGGAAATTAAAAATGATTTGATGGATTAAAACTGATATTTTATATATCAGAAATTTTATATATAATATGTATATTTCTGAAATAAATCTGAAATCCACAAATATATATCTGAAATATATATTAAAACTGAAATATATCAGATATATATATATAATATCTGAAATATATTATATATATCTAAGTCGGTTCAGTTTCGGTTTTCACACATAAAAACCGAAACCGAACTAAACCATCGGTTTATGTTTTTTTGTAACCCGAAACCGATCGGTGCTGAAGAAAAACCAGCCAACTCGGGTTGAATCAAACCGGGTTGGTCGGTTTGGTCGGTTTGGGTCTTGTTATGAACAGCCCTAGTTTTAAAAACTAATGAAGAGGTTGAATCGTTTTTTCCTCCGAGTCGTGGGCCAGCTCGACCATCCGTGTCTAATAGGTCAAATTGTTCCATGTCAGCATTTTACATATTTAATTATATGTCTAATTAATTGTTTATTTTCAATTATTATTAATTAATCTATTTTAGTTTTTTATCTTTTATATATAAAAAAGCTACAAATTACATTTTGAGGGGCAAAAAAAGGGTTTTCTTGGTAAAATACTAAAATGGGTGAGCCAAGGTGCCTTTGGTCCATGAAGCACATAGATTTATTAATTGATTAAGTATTCATTTATTAAATAATTACTTTATTATTAATTAATTAATAATTACTATACTATTACTTTATTAATAATTTGTTTATGAAATTAATTAATCCAGTTTAATTATCAATATTATTTTTCATTATAGCATTCATTAATAATCATTGTTATTCAATAGTAATGAACTAATAATTTGTTAATTATTAATTATTAATCATATTTATTAATTTTAATAAATTTTGTAAATATTTACTTGTTTATTAATTTTTATCTATTTATTACTTTATTAATTATTAATATATTTATTGTTTTATAATATTTTCTAATTAATTTATAGCTTTTACCCACAGATAAAGAGCTCTTTAGCTACGAACACAACGACCGTAGCTATAGGTCTACTTCTACTTTTGTAATTTATAGCTACAGATACTTTAAAACCGTGGCTATAAGTACCTTTTAGCCATGGACAAACAGCTTTTAACCACAGGTAAAATGTCCGTAGCTACATTTCATCTTTTTGCCACCGACATGAACTTGTCCATGGCTATATCCCATGTTTTAGCTACAGTTTTTACGATCATAGCTAAAGTGCAGTAGCTATAGCCCCATTTTCTTGTAGTGTTGATAAATCTAAGGCATATTTGCTTTTCAGTAAGTTATTTATCTAGGTAAGCGTTTCCTACGAAAGATTTACCCGGATAAGTGTATTTATCCATATTCTTTTATTTCCCATGAAAATAAGGTAATGATCATTTTATCCATAAAAGTCAATTATTAAAAGAGTCAATTTTTATCCCATTCAAGTGCTGGCAACATTCCCCCCAAGTGGGAAAGTTATTTACCCACCTAAGAGCCCAAGAAAATAAACTTTCCCTACTCCCCACATAAATCTGAAAAAAGAATATGAGAATCAAAATCCCATTGACCAACTTTCTCCCTCTCAAAATCCAAAAAAAGATCACCCCCTAAAAAGAATTTATAATAATTGATTCAACTTACAAGTTAATGCTTGACATTTTCTCATCACTCGTCTTTGGATTCTAAACTTGAGCTATAAGTTGTTTGGATCAAATTGTATATTATATAAATCCAAATTCAATCCTTACGCTCAGTTTGGAAGAAATACAAATACAAATATGTAGAGTGCAAAACCTTGTATTTTCTATGTATTTTATACATTCAAAATAATACAAAATACAAGGTTTTGCACTCTACATATTTGTATTTGTACTCTTTCCAATTTGATCCTTAAGCTCAGTTTGGAAGGAGTACAAATACAAATATATAGAGTGCAAAACCTTGTATTTTGTATTATTTTGAATGTATTTGCATTCTACATATTTGTATTTGTACTCCTTCCAAACAGTTTGAAAGGATTACAAATACAAATTTGTAGAGTGCAAAAACTTATATTTGGTATTATTTTGTAATTCTTTGTATTATACATATTTGTATTTGCACTCTTTCCAAATTTTGCCTTTGGATTCTAATCGAATCTGATCCATTATGGATACAGATCGGATTTGGATATTAATAGCATTAATAATTTAATTAAAAATGACCTCAGAGTATTATTCTATATTACTAATAAAATGGAAAAATAGCTATTATATTGCATATAATAAACAAAATGATTTAAACATAATATCTATGAGATTTAAACACATGACTATTTAGTAAACATACAACATTAATTCAGACAAAGGGATACTGTTTTCAGACTATTCTAAGCTCCAACTCTTTTGCCAATTCTTTTATACTGATCGTTATGAAGCAGTGTATAACTTTTTTTATTTTTTTTGACACATGACCAGAAGAACTGAAAAGAAAGCTCCCAAGGAAAAGAAAGATAACTCCTGGTTGCAATTCTGGCCCTTGTTTGCTAATCGATCAGCTGCTGCATTGCCTTCATGATGCGTGTGGTTGTATAACTTTTCAGAAAACCACAAAAGGAAGCCTTCCATTGGCTTAACTACCATCAAGATGAAAATACGAATATTCATGTATTATATGTTTGATTCAAATCATTTCTTCATTTCCTGTTATGTTTTGAAAAGCATGCAATTTGGTATATAAGCGTGTAAATACTCTACCAAGCAATAGGGATGCAAAATGGATTGAATTGGATTCGAATAAGGGTATATCTGAATTCGACTTGATATTGTTACTTGAAGATCTTGTCTGATTTGAATATTCAACCGGATCTAATAGACATGGATTTGAATTCGAATATGATTGGAGTTGGATATTTGAATTTGATCCAATTCGATTTTTTCTTTAAAAATTAGTAAATTATTAAAAGAAAATTAAAATGTACCAATTTAAATAAGGAAAAACAAAAAATACTAGTATTTTTTAATTACTTTCATAATATGTACATGTTTTTATAAAAAAGTTTATAAAAATACAATATAAATAATATATTTATAAATAAATAAATAACATATATATGCATATGTATTATATATTTATATAAATAAATATATAGCATATATATCGGATCGGTTAGGGGTGATCCGAATCCGATCCGATACAAAGATCTAAACTAGGGTGATCTGAATTCAACCAAACAAGATCGGACCTTGGGTCGGATCAGATCCATTTGCACCCCTACCAAGCAATTTGGTATATAAGCATGATTTGAGAAGCATGCACTGTGTGTGTAAGGGTATCAATTGGACCGGATTTGGTCCAATCTGATCTAGTCCAATATGAGCTCATTAGAAATGGACCAGGTTCAATCCAATCCGATGAATACTTTGGACCGGTTCAATTCAATGTTTGGATTATCCAATCTGTTCAAATTGGTTTTAATTTAAATTTGTTCCAATTCAAACTTGATCCATTGACACCTGCATTCTTATCTTCTATCAATGGATCGGATATTGATTCTATCTGACCCAATCCTATATAAACCCATTACGAATGGACCAGGTCCAATCCAATAAATATTTTAGACAATTAAATCTAGACTGGTCCAATATATGTTATTGGTCTGCCCAATCCATTTAAATTGATTCTGGTTTGGACGGGATCCAACCCAAATTTGACATAGATATATATATATATATATATATCCCCTTCCCAGTTCCCACCATCTTTTAATTTGCAGCTTAGGGGACAGCTTTTGTTGTTTCCATATATCATTAAAACTCAAAATCTTCCGCATACCTATAAACATCATATGCTTCACTGTGACCGAAGTCCACGTTTATCTTTATTCCTATACAAGGCTGAAACTTGCTTTTGCAACCAATCTCATGGCAAGGATGCCATAAATGCAGAATAAAAGGGTAAATTGGTTGCATCTCTTTTATCTATATATGAATCGATCACATGTGATATCAACAAAAGATGAACACCAAAACTGACCTCTCTCTCTCTCTCTCTCTCTCTCTCTTTCTCTCAAAGTGATTGATTCCAATAAACCTCTCCGTACGTCTAAGTCTCCATTAATCTTAGTCCTGGCATTTGCTCCTTGGAATCCAACAGCTCTATTTTCTAAATGGGCATCTCTATTTTAAACCATAAGCAGATTTAGAAAAGAAAAGTGTCATAATCAACTTTAGTAGCTCTTTAGCAACTTATCATTTCTAAGTATTATCCCTAGACTTCATTCATCAACCGTTCTTAGTGTTTAGGACTTGTTTAGCTCATCAAATCCGGAAAACGAGCAAGGGTGACAAACTATTTATTCCACCGGTACAAAGTTCTATGAAGAAGATAAAAAGCGATAGGCTTTGACGTGGCTTCCCTCAATCTGGTTGGGTACATTAGATTGATTTTGTCAACCTTTATGGTATTACAGTCCTACAACACAATTCCCATTCAGTTTGAAGGATGATTTTCGGGACAGTGGTTATTGGAAACGCTGACAAGGGCGGTGCAGTGCTGGTGGTGATATTTGTTTCCAACAGTCCTACAACACAATTCCCATTCAGTTTGAAGGATGATTTTCGGGACAGTGGTTATTGGAAACGCTGACAAGGGCGGTGCAGTGCTGGTGGTGATATTTGTTTCCAACAGTCCTACAACACAATTCCCATTCAGTTTGAAGGATGATTTTCGGGACAGTGGTTATTGGAAACGCTGACAAGGGCGGTGCAGTGCTGATGGTGATATTTGTTTCCATGGGTCGCAATCCCGAAAAGTGAAGCCAAAATACTTGCTTGATACGTATGATACATTGTGTTTGTAGTTAATAAAACATAGACTTGTACAACGCTGTCCTTGGAGATCAAGACGGTTCCTATAAACCTATTTATATAATACGGTGGCAACATTCATGATAACTGCGCAGGCAAATTAAAATGAGAACCTGTTTACACTGAGATTAAAATTGAACAAACAAAAGGTGATATTGGGACGCTTGCGTAATTGCCTAAGCAATGAGCAAAATACTGAAAATTGGAAATGGCGCAAAGGCGATTTTTGTATGGCCTATGATTAAGGATACTTGTTAACGAGAATACCGTCCAGCCATTATTATGTTCTATCAAGAAGACTTCAAGAGCAATTTTTACTAGTTTAAATCATGTTTTCTTTTATCTTCACCTTTCTCGCTCTTTTAGAACCTTCAATTCGCACTAATTCACTCCTACTGTGATCATTGATGTCTATGTACCAACAAAACAGATGACTTCCTACTGCCCTTACGTCCTTCTCTAATCATCCCACTGTAACCAACCATTGGTGTCTATGTATATAACCCGTCAGGTCAGACTGCACACATGATGCAACTCTCCCCATCAGGCTGACTTCAGCCACCCCACTATATTTCAATGGGCAACATCTTTGACTGCACAAGTTAATTATATTAAGTACTAAGTAGATATCTCTGTAAAAGAGGACTTAAATCTCCCAAACTAATTAAGGAATTAGTCCAGAACCGAAATCCCTTTTAAAAAAACTGGTCCATTTTGTAATCTTCCAAATACCATCATGGTGGGGTTTAAGGCTATAGTTGCTTTCGTCTTTTTCTCACAGGCCTAAAGACCGGACAAATGTTGAAACATGCTCTCTGAAAAGCAAGCACATGTGGGAAAGCCGAAAGCTACAAATGTTGCACAGAGAGCGGACCACACATATACATGCACTAGTCAAACATATGCAATGCGTACCACATACCCATGACTGGACGTCTGGACCCCTCCCGAATACCCACCAGCACTACTTACCCTGCAGCTTCCAGACAAAAGGGAATGGAAGCTGCACTAGAAATTGTCAGCAACCATACCATACCAGTATGATCTTCTAAATCTAAACGCCATATTGATTATATAATTCACAGTAGTAAGCACTAAGCAGAGGGAACTTCGGAAACGATAAAATTTTACAGACATGGGCGGCAAAGATAGATGGGAATCAAATTAAAGATCAACAAGAAAAATCCTCAGCAATGTGGATCACCATCAACGGCATTGGATTGGCTGATGCAGCATTGAAGCTAAATAAACAGTTTTGCATGCTCAATTTTGCTTGCCTTGCACCGGATCATCTTGATGACTTCTTAATGATCCTTCACTGAGGCTGGCCAAATAATCTAATATGATGGTGAACCGTGCTAGCACCAAGTCTAACAGATAGTGGTACAGTCAACACTGCAACGTGAACTCATGTTTGGCCATGTAATTGTGTGCCAATAGCTCATCATTTAGCGCAGCATCTGCTGTAGTTGAAGCACCTGGTGCCTTTGTTCTGGAGGCAGAAGATTAATCTGTTCTGGCGTGAGACTCATGACTTGTTGAAGCAATGCCTTCTCCATCTCAGGAGTTAACTGTGCCAAAAATAAAAATGGAAGCCAATAAATGTACAAGTTGTTATAAACCCATGAAAATATATTTTGCTAAGGACTGATTAATTTACCTGTGGTGGACGTGGAGGCTGGCTACCAGCGCCAATATGACCAGGTACCAGTGGCGGTGGGCCTGGAAGCTGCATTCCTGTTGCATTGTCTGCTGGACTGTGTACCCAAGCACCTCCTCGTTCCACTTGCATGGAGCTTCCTGCCTGACTATACTCCACCAAATGTGAACCACCAACCTGAAAGAATGGCAGGTAAGATAAGCTAATACCAAACTCCCCCCCCCCCAAAAAAAAAATAATAATAATAATAAAATAAAATAAAGTAAAATTAAAACGCACAAAGGGAAAAGGAATATAAACTAGGATATATTTAAAAGGAATGAAAACAAACCAATCAACACTAAAAAGCACCTGATTCTCCACAGGCTCAAACGGACATAGCACAGATATTTCCTATAACATAAAGCCCTACCAAACCAAATATCAAACGGAATCCCTTTTGTATACTCGGAAACCCCAAATATAAATATAAATTCCAACCAAATATCCATCACGCAGGAATAATTATAAGATATGATTCTCTACATATTAGCGGGCCATCTATATTCACTCATTCACACACACAATACAATAGAAACAACTACAAAACATCTATAACTAGGAAAAAGAAAGGGGAAGTAAGGCTCTGTTTGGTTTGTGGGAAGATTTGGGTGGGATGAGAAAGTGTGAAATTTTCACTTTCCATCATTTGGTTTGTGGGAAGATTATTGAGAGAAAACATGTTGAAATATGTCACATAAATCAGAGTTCAAAAGAAAACTATTTAACTCCAAATATCAATCATCTGTCTAAAAAGCTTCAAACTCTTATTGAATCCACCATTTTTCATATACCTACAATATCATGATTCATGAATCCTTTTTCTTCCTGTAGTGATTTCAATTGCTCACAGGCTCCAAATTAGATGATAGGGATCAGTACTGGTTAGATGGGTTTGGATGAGATTGTTCCAAGTAAAGGTGTTCGGTGGATGGCTGCAGTTCTGCAAATTTAGAGAACAGGAGATTTAAAGGTGGGCTTGAACGCTACTGGCTTGCCTATGTTGGGATTTGTTTGTTGGTTTCTGACCTTTGAAACCACATTGTACCTATTACGATTGAAGGGCATCTCTTTGTTCTACAGTTGGATAAAATTCTGAAAATAATTAATTATCAGGATGAGAGTGCATTTGGAAATAATTTCTGAAAATCACCATTCTAATACAAGGAATGATAATGATGTTTGGAAACACTTCATGAGAATCATCGCATTAGCAAATGAAAGTACAATAACAGTATCATCCAAGTAGTAGACGAGGGACAGAGTAAATGATGGATAGAGAAAAAAGGAGATCTGTTTTTTGAGAAAAACAGGTTATATCTATTAATCAAAGTAAAATGGTAGAATGAAATTAAACACCAGAGAGAGAGAGCTGGCCAACTGATATGGCAGACCATCGAAGAAGGCAGCCATGGTCGTTGGTCGTTGGAAACCATCGCAGCCACGGCCTACTATGGTTGCACCAGATATCTATTTGGGTTTTGGAGCTCAAAATATAAAAAGGAACTAAAAACAACTGAAAAGATCACCGGAAGCTTGAACGTAGCTATTGAGTGGAGGAAGTGGAGAAGACAGACAACAGACTCTTTAATGGGCAAGCCTAATACTCTTTCCCTTTATTTTCCCACTGGGGTCGCACTGTTTTGGTGTGACCCCAAATCCCAACTTTTGAGGAAGTGCATCCCCCTATTTTCCCATCCCTTTTCTGTGCATCTCACAAAACAAACATGGGAAATTGGAATATTTTAGGAATATTCCATCTTTCCCACCCTTTTCTCGCAAATCAAACAGAGCCTAAAGGTCAATTCTGTTGGATCCAAGGCCAAAAGGATAGCAAATAAGGCTTTTAATGAAACTTCCCTTCTAAAACACATTCCAGTTCAGCTATCTTTCCTCATTCTCCAAGGAAAGTTTGACCAAGCATTTGACCCAAGTACAGAAACCAATTACTCTTTCAAGTTCTGGATACTGCACCAATTAATATGAGGGAGCTGGAATTCTACAAGATCTGTTTTCATACATATTGCCACATGCTTTATTCACTCTTAGAAAAGAGAACATCAAGATTAGAAAACAAGAGGAAGATGTGATAGCAGTCCTCATTTCAAGCTCCACCAAAGCAACTACGGTTCACCAAGGTGCTCAAGGAATTCAGGAGTCAGGACAGCTCAATTACCTTGATGCCTAAACATGCCTTGCATACTGGTGTAGGGCACATTAAGTACCCAATCCAGCATCTAATACTGCATGGATACTTTAAGATATATTCTATAGCATTAACGCTTTTAAAATATGTAAAATGATGTTTTTCATGCTATAGGAAAATCTGAATATGTAAAAAATTTAATTATATCCACAAAAACACAAGTATTGAGAAATGACAGTTTCAAAAACTAGATATGAAGACATGCTATAAGCATATCATATCAGATCTGTACCCATATCCACGTCTGGCATTTTAGGAAATGGAGACTTATATCCCTGTTTCCCATGTAGGTATCCTTATGGGCATCATAGGTATCCATCAGGACAGGGAACCAGAGCTGGTCATCCTCGACTAACATAGCCAACCTCAGTCAGCCATGAGAACTTGTTGCATCAATACAACAGCATTTCCTTTCCTAATTGAGCATTAACTTTTAAGGTCTATCAAAAAACTATAGCTACTTAAATCCAAAACCAAAATTACAAGTATACCTGATATAGTGACTGAGGCGGTGGCTGACTTGGCAGTGGTGGCTGTCCCTGTGGAAATGTAGAACCAATTGTAACTGGGGGTTTGGTAACTGACTGAAAAAAATGCACACTTAATTAGCTCCATCCTTCCATGTTTTATATGAGATAAAATCAATGCTCACTTTAACTTTCAAAATTTCTGCAGGCATAGCTTACATGAAATGTTGGTTGCGAAAGGTGAGGCTGTGGTGCACCAGATGGCTGGTAACCCAAATTCGGCCCCATCTGTGAATGAAGCTGATGTGGAAAAGGTGGCATTGAAGGTGGCCTAGGCTGTGGTGGTAATGGTGGTTGCAGTGGCAAATGAGGAACACCTGTAGTCTGCATTGATTGTTGTGACTGACTGGAGATAGCAGGTAACTGGGGTGGAAGAAGTGGGGGCATCTGTGGAGCAGAATGTAGTGGAAGTGAAGGTATAGCATGAATTTGGGAGGATTGTGGAAGTGACATTGAGGTCATTGCTGAATTCAAGTGCCCCTTAGCCTGCTGCACTTTCTGTAGAGAATGTGATGGCATTGGCTGTGATTGATGGGTTACCGGTGGAACAGAAGCAGGTGGGAGAGGCATTGCAGGTTGGTTCTGATGTTGCTTTCTAACTGGAATTTGGGTCTGGGATGCACTTGCTTGATCCTGTTGTCCAACTTGGATTGGCAATGAGTGTGCAGCCTGAACATTTAGTTGCTGACCTGTTTGTACCGATTGTTGAGAATGCTGAGATAGAGATTGTTGAATGTTTGGCATCTGAACCAAAAAAAAAAAGATAAACAAGTTTAGATTCAAAACAAATGCACAAATGCCTAACTGGAGAAGAAACAGTCAAGTTGAAAAAAAAAAATAATACCAGTTGTGGAGGTTGTACCATCCCAAGCATAATTTGTGCCTGAAAAAACATGTGAAGGAAAAAATGAAATTGCCAACTCTAACTCTATGTAGTCAAATGCCACCAGTAAAATGTCATAATATAAAAACTACATGACTTCCTCATAAAAATAAGACCCAAAAAAAAAAAGCAATACAACATCTACATTGCCGCACCAATTTTCCAATAATGGCAATTCTGTAAGTTCAATTTAGTCCTAGTGAAATTGACTACACTAAGAGTTTATACACATGTTTCAGAGTGTCAAAATGTGGCTGGTAAATGGGATTAATCATTCAGTTTTTCAGAAATGTGCATCAATAATTTTCCTTTTGGTAGTAAAGGATTTTTTTTTTTTTTGATAAATGAGTGGTAGTTTTATTAAGAAGAGAAGAAAGTGTACAGTCCCCCAAAGAGGAGGCATGAGATGTTACCTCCCCTTAGGAACATGGTTTAAAATGTCCCTAATTTCCCTAATATTTCAATGACATATTTCCATTTCCATGGGTAGCGACACGAAATTTTATGGGAATCAACATATTCCCAAATAAACATTACCAACACTCTGTGGAGTACAAGAGAGTTTCCACAACATATTTCCATTTTCACTTCCATGGGTAGTGACATGAAATTTTACACCAACATATTCCCCAATGAACACTATTAGCACTGTGCAGAGTACAAGAAATAGTATTATAACAAAAGTAGGTAATAATATTGTAGTCATGTAGAGCAACAGATTTTATTACCCACCTAACTTGCATGATTACCGCTTTGAGCTAGCTCAATATTCATTTCAAACAAGTAATTAAATATTAGTTTTTGTTTGTGTAATAGATTATTTGGTTGATCTATTAAAACCATTTACATTTTCTATGAGTTTAAATTTTGCTTTAACTCATTCTATCATGAAGTTTTGAATCTCAAGGTTTACGGAACAACTTCAGAATGTATTCTTTTGTCTATAACCCTAGTTTCTTAGTATGGCTTAATGATTTGGAACAAGATAAATAGATAATAATTTAAAAAAGCTGTTTCTATGCTTCTTCCATCATTTCATAAAATACCATTCTATATTTTTGCATATTTTACAATGTTTCCACCATGTCTATAAGGAAGCACATCCGCCCCATCATGTGCATCACATCCTGTGAGTTGGTGGGAGGGGATGAATAGGCAGCATTATTAGACTAGCAAATTAGAGGGGTGGAGAGGAGGAAAGAGTGAGGAGAGACGAGACGATGAATAGGTGGCACTGCCGATCTGGTTTTACCAAATGGTTGATAAAGAAAATTAGATGACACTTGAAGGGCATTTTTGTCTTTTTGCATGCCACTTAACAGCTGGTTAACGCCGGGTACTAGATTGTCGCAAAATGAAAGTTCGGGTACTAGATTGTCGCGTTTTAAAGTCCGGGCACTAAATTGGCACTCGGCCTAAAGAACAAGGTACCGTACCTATCAGGAATTTTCCCTAAAAAATTTCCACATGCTTGCACACTTGCTAGTTCACAAAAAGGTCTGAAGCTTTCGGCCATAGAATTGTTCTTGTCAATATGCACTCCTTTACTTCAGCTAGACTTCTTTCCTTTCCTTGGAAAACTCTAGCATTCCTCTCCTCCCAAATGGTCCACATAATAGTTGCTCTGACACATTTTCACATCAGTTCCCCTCTTTTTGTTGGCCACTCGAAGGTAGTCAGATAAAAAAAGGAAAGTTTTCATTAAGGCTGCATTTTGTGCATTTGGTAAGAATGCAAAGGTGGAACCAAAACGAACTTGCACTCCCATTTGGTTTTGCAGTTCTTTGGTAAGAATATGTTTTTGTACTGAGAATGAAAGTAAATTTTTTTTCAACTGATTTTGCATTCAAAATGGGAACAATGGAAGCAAACTTTGCATTCAAAGTTGGTCAATGTAAAATATTTCAGTTCCAGCCTTGAGATTCATGTTTGCACCCATTACAACTGAACAAGACACTGTAAATTTATCAGTGCAAGATAAATGAAGAGATGGATTAATGGTAATAAGACAATACACTTCAAGGTTTAAAGTTGGCTAAGCAAAGCGGGAAAAAAAAATTGGCTAAGCAGTTGGGCCTCCACCAAATTGAGGTGGAAGGGGACTCTAAACTGTTAATTGGTTGGATGCAAGGGAGATTGGGGTATTTTTCAAGTGGACTAGAAGGTCAGCAAATAGACTAGCTGATACTTTGGCAAAGCAAGGAACCTTTAGGGACAATTTGCTCTGGGCTGTTTTGTAACTTTGAGATAATTGGTTTTGGGCTGTTTTGCACTCTTAACAAATGCAGCCTAAAATAAAAAGGGAAATCTCTCTCTACAAGTTTTCTGATTCTAGCATTGATTAACCATCAATGACCAGGAAAAACCATCATCAAATCACATAACAAAGGTCTGATATTGATCCTACATAAATTCCTTCATGAATTCCTCCTACTTGAATTTCTCATTACAGCAGTTTTGTCCATTTGTGCCAAACCACCTTTAAATGTCATCAACATTATGTTGTTTCTTGCAGACTTTATTCACCTTTCTATCCTACCTAAGTTTCATATTTAAACTCCCATAGAACCCTTATCATCATCACCATCCAAGCCTTACCCCAACTACTCTCCATTCTAAACCTATATTTTTTTAATTGTTTCTATTAACAAATTCAGTCACCTCCCTACAACTCTCCATTCTAAACCTACATTAAAATTTTCAATGACAAATTCCAACCAAGGTTCAAAGTATCGATACAGATCACACCGTATCATATGATATATATCAGTTTTCAGGGCCGCTGATAATGTGAAATACATGGAGTTTGGGCTTTTTAATAGATTTAAATGATAATAATCCTAATATACGCATTTGCAAATTATCAAACTGAAAAAAGAACCATGAGTATCAAGCATATCAACTTAGAACCTTGATTCCAACCCTCTACCTATTTTCCTCAATTCGAAACTTTTTACATTTTGGGAACGGAGACCCTTTGTAACCAAATCAAACCTACCCATTAGCTTTCATTCTCTTCATAAAAGCCTTTCTAAAACTTTCAACAAGCTTTAAACAACCATCTTGAGTTGAATTTTTCCTATATCAGTTTGGTATCAAAGCACCTATTCAATAGTCATACATGCCTACTGATCAAAAAAAAATAGTCATACATGCCTAACATACCCCTGTTAGAGTTGATATGTACCCAATGCAACCAAGATATAAGTGTTGAAATATGACACTTGAGGGAGGTGAGCTGCATAAAGAATAACAACCAGTGTTTTAAAAGCGCAAGGGCCAATTTGTGCTTGAGGCATAAGGCGCAAGGCGAGGCACGTGCGTTTTTAAGAAAGGCGCAAAATTACAAAAAAAAAAAGCTAAAAATCAAAAAAAGAGTCAGAAAAATTCAAAAAAAATGCCAAAAATTTGCAAAAAAAAAAATTAAACATAATGTTAATAAAAAATATAAACTTAAAATTTAAAACAAATGATTTAAAAATACCTATTATCTAAAATTAAAATACATAAACATAACATGTAAAGTGTATTCAAATGAAAATTTAAAAATAAAAGCAAACATATAAAGCATTTTCAAGCATGTAAAACCCACAATCTCTTTTTTTCCTTAATTGCATTGCTTCAAGTAGTTAATGTGATGTAAAACATATTGCTTTCTTGATTCTATGGTCGGGGGTCCGGGGGCAAAGGCCCAGCCGTTAGACTCAAAAAAAAAAAAAAGCAAAAAGTGCAAAATTTTAAAAAGGCACATGCCTAGGCTGAGGCACAAGGTGCATCAAGCGCGCGCCTTTTGAAAGGATGTGCCTAGGACCTGAGCGAGGCGCATACCCCAAAATGCGCCTCGCCTATGCGCCTAGGCGCGCCTTTTAAATCACTGATAACAACCAGGGGTTATGGCAATATAGACACATTTTAGAGAAGTGAAACAAATTGCACAAGAACCGAGAGTTGATTTCAAAATGATCCAAGGGACAAAGGTATGTTAGGCATGGAATAACTCAAAATACTAGTTTCTTTTTATTATTTTTCTTATTTGTTAGGGTTCAATCAAGATGTATATTGTCTTGAACCCTCAAAGACTTAAACCTCAACTAATAAGCATGAAATAACTCAAAATTTTGTCCAATCAAAACATATTGGTTTTATCCTCCTTTTTCTTTTCTTCTTTTCCAAGGGAAAAAAATAGAGGCCAGACCCTCAATTTTATGAAATTTCTTTTCTTTCTTCCATTTTGTCATGAATATGTTGATTTTCTATGTTTTAAATGAAATTTATCCATTTCTTTTATGAAGTTTATAGACAACAAGGTGCCCCCACCCCATCGCCTAGCCTTGCCTCAACACCTTGAAAAATATGGTTAAAAAGTAACTTTTATCTTTTAATTTCCTTCTATAAAAAAAATGAAGCAGAGTTGGATTAAGTCTGACAGGATTTTGAATCAGATTCGAATTTAATATTTCATTAGTTGGATCAAATTCGGATGCTGCTGATTGCTGAATCCAATCCAAATCCAACCTGATTACAGCCCTAAGATGAAGTGGTTGAACTGAAAAGCTTTTTTTTTTCTTCTAGGCAATAAATGTCTTAGGTTTTTTTTTTATTTTTGTACTCCATCACAATGAACATGAATTTAAACAGTAGTCAGTAAATATAGATTTTGATCCTTTTATTCCATAATTCCAAGAGAGCCGAGGTGAGGCCAAAAAGAACATGGTTTTGAAGTAGTGAAAAAATATCTGATAACGATGGAGAAGAGTTGAGGATGCTATCTAGTGCATTGGATGAGGAACTTCGTGGTTGTAGAATAGGGGTGGTCATAATGGATATTGGTGAACTTAGAGAACAATTAGAGTTGCTAGATTCACGCCTGGTTGGAAGATTCATCAGCTTTGGTACAGAAGATGTTCAACGAGGGATGAGAACTTAATGGAGACTAGGAGGTGATGTCAAGGTCAAAAGATTTTGATTTTTTTCTTTTTCTTTTGTTTTTGGTTTCTTTTTTTTTTTTGAGAGAGAGAGAGAAAAAGTAAGGTGTTGAATTATATTATAAATGAAAACAAAAGAACCATATACAACCAAAAGTTGTACTCAAGGACTATAGTATACAAAAGGGAAGGTAGAAGAATGGTTTGGAAAAGGAAACAATGCGTTCAAATCCACTCCAAAGTTTAGTGTTGGCAAATGGAATCTAATGGTCGGGCAGTTTAGAAGCTCAACTGGTAGCAGAACGGTTGGGATTAATGTCATTGGGGCTCTTCTTCATGCATGGTGTACACAAACATTTCTGGCAATAGGCAACTCGTGCGGAACATAAGAGACTTGACCTTCCTAACAGGGTTATTTTGTTTTACTTTTCGAACAAGCAAGAAGTTTTATATGAATCGACAAGTACAAATTTTTCATTATTTCATTGGCATTAGGAACTTTACTAAATTTCCTTCTTAATGTTTTACAAGCATGTGTATCTCAACAAATCCTTGTATCCCATACCCAACAATATATGTCCATCAAACCTAAATTTTAAATCCTATTACCACTAAGTGGCTGTTCTTTGAAGAGAATATCATAGAAATAATATGTCACTATAACCTAGCTTATCTTATATTCGATTTTTCATCAGCTGCACCGTGACAGAAAATATAGCTATGGACATAGAACCTCAATTAGACCAAATAGCATGTGAAAAGCAGAGGAGAAATAGAAGTTTTGCAGACAGGGGCGTTCGATAATTTAGGATTGAGAAAAAAGAACAAGAAGAAGCCAGTCCTCTGGAAACCAAATATTTCATTTTAAACCCTAAATCAGAAGGAAGGAGAAAAGAGGCCAGAAACACACCTGGAAAAGGGCTTTTGTCAAAAGAGGATTCTCGACCAGTATCTGCCTCGCTTGCTGCTGATTCTGTTCGATTAGAGTCTGATCAAATAAACCGAAACATTGGTGTTGTATTTTCTTTTGATAAGAGTGAACAACGATATTATTCAGGAAGAAAATAATAATGATAAAGGAAATATAATGGAAGGGCAATAGTATAAAATTTTCTTTCAGAAAGGAGTAAAGCTTACTTTCATCTGCGACATGATGTCGTAAAGCTGGTTCTTTGACATCCCAGCAAGATTAGATGTAAAAGAGTCACCTGCGATCTGCTTTCCCGCCATGTTTTCGACGCAGAGAGCAGGTTTTCACTTCTGTAAGTTTTAAATTCTTCGACGGTCCGAAATCCGAAGCCAGCGACACGGGGGACGAGCGATAGCTTCGACACCCCTAATTCCGTGTATTTGCACAAATGAATCGCGAATTCGCGATTAAAGGAGGGATTGAGGCTTGAGGGTAAACGGGGCCGTGGGATTTCTAGGCCGTATACTGTGGTCGGAGAAATAATTGGGCCTTAAGTCTGCTCAAAACGTTATGGGCCTAGTCCGCGAAGATGTTCAACGAGAAAGGCCCAGAGAACCAAAAAGAATCATATAGGGTACCGAGCTAGACTCCAATTCATAATTTCTTTCATATCGGACGAAACAACTTAAATGAGTTCAAATTTCAACTAGATAGTCCCTGAACGTGCAGAGAAAAAATGCTGCAGGACATGCAGTTGGTTCTTTAGAAAAATAACTAGGGCCCATAACATGATCAAAACTAACCGTTAAATGGATCCCTTAATTAATGGAGATTATAGGCAAAAATCAGCTTCTAGCATGACAGTAGTTATGTGTTTCATAGTCGATCTAGTCAATAAGATTAGTTTAAAGGTATTAATACTGAAGATTAGTTTAAAGGTATTAATTCTATCTGCTGCAAACTCCCACATAAAGATGTAAGATAAGTGGAGCCCAGGCCCTGATATTCAGCCTTTTAAGGCATACTTCCAATTCAATCAATGTGGATGGAGCCTCAAACTCATTTGGGTTTGGCAGATTTGTTTATGCCAGATGTCAAAGAACAGAGCTAAGCTCAACTCTCAAAGACCAGTTACACCTGGTCTTCACCTCCTGAGTTTATCCGGCCTGTACTGGAAAAAGATTTAATGCATTGACCAAGCCTACAGGCTTTCTTAAAATAAAAATTAAATCAGATGGATAAAATTGGTTCAATTAAGGTGGAACCCACAAATGATGATTTCTTAGTTCCCTTTCTAGGTTCTACCATCCAAAGGATTAGACAGTAATTGGCTAATTGCAACTTCCTTGTTCAATTGTTCCTAGGGTGTAAGTGAGCCGAGCCTATTTGCGAGTTGCTGATCAGGCTCGGCTTGCAGTAATTGACGAGTTCAAGCTTCACAATAACCAGCTTGAGTGGCTCGTAAATCTAATCAAATTCATAATAAAATAATATTTTTTAATATATTTGTATTTATAATATAAATAAATATATTTATAATTGATTTTTAAAATATATTTTTATTTTTAATATACTTAATATTGATTTATTTATAATTTTTAATATTAATTTATTTATAATTGGCTTGAATTCAGTTCGAGCCAAATATATGAAACTCGACTGAGCTCGAGTCGAATTTTTTAGTCGAATTGGAGCTCGAGAAACTTGATACTTATTTCGACTCAACTCGATTACAGCCCTAATTGTTCCCGAACACAAGTCACTCCATTCTCCCAACACTTGGGTCTGAGTCGCCAAGAAGTGACTCAAAATTAGTAATGAAGGGACATGTATAAGTCAGTTCGTAAGAGGTAGGAATGCCTCAAGCTCAGCCTTTGAGTTATGTAACATATATGTCTCTTTCATCACAATTCACAACCAGGAGGATGAGTATTAATTCCACCCTATCTCATTTGGCAGGCAACCAACACCACAAGATATCTAGTAGGTTTAGGCGTGGAATGATGCAATTTGTACAAAATGTGTGCCCAATAAGGGTAATTCATGTATTAGAAAACCTTAAATTTTAGTTACTCGTCTTTAATAATGAATGATAAACCTTGCTTCGATTCACAATTTTATTATGTGAGATAGTCAGGCATATCCCTATGATTGATAGGATCGAGAAGGTTTTTTTGAAAGCAAACACATGTATCCATGGGACCGGATCTAATAGGCACAACATAGTAAAAACTGGTGTGGCATGCCCAAATACTCGTATTGTCCATACGACTCGTATCAATTTACTCATGTACTCCATTCGAATCATCTTTAATCGACTTGTAAAGCCTTTTACTTTGATATTGCAAAATCCAGGCATTGGATCCAATTCCTCAATTTGCATAAGATTTTGGATCAATGGGTTCCTGATCTTCCTCCTATCTGTTATTGGGCTCACTTGGAAGGGGATTACATGCTATGCCAGCATCTTAATATACAGTTAATGGCTTCAGCTATGTTTTCTAATATAAAAATCAATGGGAATTTAATTAATAAAGTATTTAGGCCATGTTTGGAAGTGTTTAAAATAAGTATTTACTCGAAATAAGTGCTTATTTGAGTCAGGATCACACTATTAAGCACTTATTGGTGTTTGGGAAATAAGTTCAAAATAAGTGCTTATTTTAAAAATAAGGGCTATATTTTTTAAGCCCAAATTACTAGCTTTTTTTAAGTGCTTATAAAATAAGCACTTATTCATTTTTTTTCTTTCAAAATTATCCCTAGTTGAAGTTTAAAATATCACTTATAAAACTATCCCTAGTTGAATTCTATAAAAAGTACTTTCATAAAAGTGGTTTTGTAAAAGTTCTTTTATTAAAGTATTTTCATGAAAGCATTTTTATAAAAGTACTTTTACGAAAGTATTTTTATGAAAGTACTTTCATAGAATTACTTTTATTAAAGTGCTTTCGTAAAAGTGCTTTTATAAAAGTGCTTTCATAAAAATACTTTCGTAAAAGTACTTTTATAAAAATGCTTTCATGTGTTTTTTATAAAAGTGCTTTCATAAGTGTTTTTTATAAAAGTGTTTTCATAAAAGTACTTTCATAAAAGTATTTTCATAAAAGTACTTTCACAAAAGTGTTTTAATAAAAGTACTTTTATAAAAGTACTTTCATAAAATTTGAAAGAAAATGAGAGACAAAAATAGTCACAAATGCTTATTTGAGAAGTACTTGAAAAAGTTGAGTGCCAAATGCAAATAAGTGCTATTCGAATAAGCATTTGTTTTTAAGCATCTTTTTTAACATAAACACTCCCAAACATGACCTTAACCAATCTGGAAAGGGCATTACCCAATGTTGGGTCCAGCTATCTAGGGTCTTGGAAGAACTCAGATTCAGTCCTCACAAAACTGTGCTCATGTCATCCACTCACTTCAATTCCCAATGCACAGCTGTAAGTGGCTGTGAGAAACCACCCCTAGACTTTAACCTGGATTCTAACACTTGCTTGCAGCCTGATATTTTACCATTGCACCTAGGAATGGCAACGGGTAGGGTACCCATGCAAATTGCCTTACTTATTCCCAAACCCGCCTATATTTCCGTGATTCCAAATCCGTCTAACTTTTCCTCTCAAATTCCTAAACCCATCCCGTCCCAAACCTGTCCCACCAATTAAACCCCTTGACCAAACGTTTTCTACTAAAAAATATAATAGTTTCTTAATGCTTTAATGTGACTTGAGCCCAGATCAATTAATGATAGTGTCAAATCTCTTAACACTACTTTAAACCATGCACTAAGCCGTCTCGTCTTTTGTGTTATTTAATGAAATAAAATAGATTGTATTAACTTTTGTGTTCATCAAAACAATCAATGCATGTATATGATTAACAATTCTAACTAAAAATTAAAAGAAATAATATTTAAAATTAGCATTTTATAACTAAATGAAATAAACAATCTATCAAATCCAAATTTACATCAAATAATGATTTTAATCCCAAAAAAAATATACAAATAAAATATTAATAATAGAATAATTACCTTAGTACTTAAAATTTATAAATTTGTGCATGATATATATAATAGGTTCATATTTATGCATCTCAGGTATCAGGTATCATATACCCTAAAATCAAAACCCAAACCCGTCCCAAACCCTATAGGGTTTTGATGAACGGGTCCTATTAGGGTCGGGACGGGTCGAATACCCAAAAATTCCCACGAATTTGCCATCCCTAATTGCACCAAGTAGGGGTATACTCGAGCTGAGCCAAGCCAAATATTTGGCTATTCGAGCTTGGCTCATAGAAATAGTGTTAGGCTCAAGCTTCACTTGATCTAGAGACTTGAGCTCAAGCTCGGCTCTTATGAAAATCCATCATCACATACATATGTCTTTGAATGAAAGCCAAGAGTTCCATACTTCCATAGCAATTTATAACAAGATATTAAAACATTAGTTAGGTTACGTTAGACATAAAAGATGTAACAGGCAATTTCCCCTGATGTCAACTAACTGCACCATCTTAGTACAAGTTGATTCTTCTTGTAAGGGCTTAGCTTCACTTGACGAAGGATTTGGATAAGCGGTCCCAACGTCTGAGTCATGGTTGCGATGCTATCTGATGCACTACTCGAAAGAAGGAAATGGTGATAACCTAAAACAAATTACAAATGGCGTACGTATTATGAAGCGATGACTTCAACACAGCTTCACCAAATAGAGTCCACATTGAATTGTCGTTGCTGCACAGAATCAATGGAAGAAGCAGGGAAATTAGAATTCAAATCAGTTATGAAGCGAGAGTTCCCTTGCGTCGGAAAAGAGCTTAAGTCAGTCATTGCAGCTTCTCGTGGTTGATACCCCCCCAACTGTAATGCCGTCAAAATCATGGAATTCATTGATAAATCCGGACCAAGCAAGCTTGGAGAGCAGCTGAGAGACGGATGGTTGGTTGCTTCTTTTGCAGAAGTCCAATTCATGTTTAAGTTGACAATGTTGCCATTGTTGCTATTGTTAGTAGAAACAGAACTGAAACAGCTTGAAGAATTAGCTACACTACTTGGATGCGATAATTCAAACCCTTCTAGCGTGGTGTCATCACAATCAGATTCAAGAGACGGGTGGAATGGAGTGAAGTATGGTTTCTTATTGATGGCGTTCTTCTGAAACACCCTACAGACCACCCACTCGTCCTGTGTGTGAAGGAACAAGCAAATTAAGATCATTGGATCAATCATATATATCCCAGAATTAATGAAAATAAATAATTAAGTAAAGGAGAGGAAGGGTTTCAGTGTTCCATGTGTTTATTACCTTAATGGGTTTGTAGGTAAACTTGGTTTGCAGCCTATATTCATGCATCACCCAATTACTCTTCTCTCCCTTGGGAGCTCTGCCCTTGTAAAATACTAGGGTTTTCTTCAAACCTATCAATACTCCACAGTGGAAGATCTCCTTGTCTTTGCCTGTTGTTTTCCAATACCCTGCATCTGTGGCTCGGTTTGTTCTAAGCCCAGTTGGGTACTTTCGGTCCTTCAAGCTAAAAAAATACCATTCTTTCTCCCCCATGGTAGCCTTGCCTATACAAGGTTGTCATAACCCAAATCAATTCGACTTTTCATTTAGGCTAATAACAACTCTGAGAAACTATATATGTGACAATTAAAGTTCTTTTTTCTTGGTGCACTCTCTGGTAGAACAACTTCACTACCCTTACATAATATATGCAGGATCTATTATTGTATATATGTAAAACTAACACAACCTTTAGTGTGCATGTCATATTAATTCATCTTATATCTATCTATTCATTGAAATTAAGGAAAACCCAAATAAGGATTAACATTCAACAGGATTACAGAAGTAGTCTATGTCGATCTAAAATCTAATAAAAAAAAAAGCAAAGAAATTAAAATAAACCAACATTTAGTTAGAACAGAACAATGAAGAAGAAGAAGTTACCTGGGAGGTCCCAAGGTTCGCACTTATTGAAGTCCACATCTGTAATAGCTCTTGATACGAAACTAAAATCAGCAACTTTGCGGGTTAAATAATACATGATAAGCTCTTCATCAGTTGGATGAAATCTAAAACCAGGAGGGAGATTCTCTTCCATATGTCAAAGACTGGAAACTAGTGGGGTTCGATCAGTCTAGCCAAAGCCAAAGAAAGGAAGGGAGGCTTAAAAATGCAACTGTTTCAAATGTTAATATCATGCAGTCGTTTTCTATAGTACATCCTTGAGTGAGAAGCTGTCGTCTCTAGATTACTTTATCCCATCTAACATGTTGACAAAATGCATGGTTCATACAAGTTTAAGATATATTAATAGTGAAGATTTCTGTAAATCCCACCACCAACAACATTAGAATTTAGAACCCGTAGTTTGCTTTTTAGCTCGTTAGTAGTACTGAAAAGCTAACAGATGAATCTTCTAGCTAAGAGGCACAGACATCAAACAAAATATAGATGGGTTGGTTAGCATAATCTAATCAATCAATCAAGGTGATGGTCAGTGGGCTTATATATAATAATACCCCAAGTAGGGCCCATCGGATAGTGGATCATGACATGCCACGTGTGCCCCAAAACTTTATATTGGGCAATACCCTAATTTGGCCTTATTAGCTAGTGTGGCAAAAGTGATTGGTTAAGAAGGTTCCATCATCCAAGGATTCAACATAGGTGACGTTGTTATACCAGATATTCTTGTTTATTTGCACTAGTCCGACCAGCTCCAACCGTTTCTACCCACCGGGCCGGCGGGCCCGTCATCTCTCACGCTAGTCTACTGAGAAGAATTATTTAAGAGGGAAGAATGATATGGTAGACTGTGTACATCGTCTATGTGGACTTTAATTAACCGGTCGATCTCTTCTTATTCTTCTTCTAGATACACGCATACGCACGCGCACAGGGCCATGGCTATTAGGGAAATACAAGTAAAAGATTGCATCATTGGTTACATCATAAAATAGCCTAGAGTCGCCCGGATTTTTCATTTTTCATTTTTCAGAGTTATCATGTAAACAGGAAACTGAAATATAATCGGGATTTGGGAATCGTTTTGGCCACTGATTTTCGGATTGAATAGTCTGTTTTAAAAAATAAATTTTAAAAAAATAAAACATAAAAAATAGTCAAAATCATTGAATAGGTCAATGATTCAACCATCTAAATCAATGAATTATTAATTTTTTTAAGGATTTTTTGTCAAAAAATAAGTTTAGAGTAAAACAAAACTGATTATCTGTACAATTCACAAACCGAACGGTCTGACTGTCAACCAACACAGCCTTGTTAATCAATGGATCTCGAAAACTAAAGGGATATCCGACTGGGTAGTGGGTACCTCTTGCATCGATCCTTTCGGCTATAACTTGGCGAGTCACTTTAAAACCTTGCCCAGTTGACCCAGATGACTCGTTGTATATATCAGCAGCTTTCTTTAGAATAAAGGCCGTTAATTCTGTCGTACCATGCAAAAAGGTGCCGCAACTAAAATATTTTCATGACCAATTAAGATCTTATGTGAATTTATGAGAATGCCCTTGATTGGTAATTAATTAATTAATTTGTTAAATACCATACCCTAAAAAAATTAATTAGAGTAAAAAGTATAGGGGGAAAATGTAATATATTTTTTCATCTTTTATTTACTATATATAATGCTTACACTTGCCTCGGCTTCACGTCCAGATCACCGTATGGAAATTCTTATCCATTTATTTTACTCTCTCCACACTCTGCTCACCTCTATCGATCTCTTTCGCGTACAGTGACGTGCCAGTATAAAATTACACTTTTTAAATCCGGAGTCGATTCATCCAATTTCCCTAGCTAACAAAATTCAACAGATTTTTTTATTATTATTATTATTTGGGTATTGAACTCATCAACTATTAGTTAAAAGTGGCTAAAGTGACCACTAAAACGCAAGACCATATCTTTCCTTAATTAGCGTTGTTCCTCCACCGTGATATCTTCGAGATTTTTTTTAATGTTCCTCCAGCTAGTCTTTTGCTTATTGTAAATTATATTAAATTATATATCGTCCTAACCCCTTTTATACTCTCTCTGTTCTAATATATTCAAGATAATGCAGGAGCAATTATTGTAGTGTTCACAACCTCAACACGTTTAGAATTTGGGTGCTCCGTAATGGACAAGGAAAGGCTTTATTTTCTTTTGGTAGATGACAAGGAAGACCTTTTTAAGAAACAGAAGGTCTGTGTTTTTTTTTTTTTTTTTTAATGAAGTCACCTGTGTCTATCGTTACTACATATGCTCTTTTCGCTTATGTATAGAGTTTGATGTCATCAATTCAGACTGTTGCATCCAAGCTCAACGCTCAAAGACTGTTGCATCCGACAGTATCTACCAAAACCAATCTTTCAACAATTTACACGCATTACCTTCACCCAATTTGGTTCCTTAAAATATACAATGATGGGCTTATGGGTGGCAATGTTTAATTGTTTACCCAGCCACATAATGTACCCGCTTGTTATCCATCCAAACCCACCCAGTCTGTCTTTGTGAGTTGTATATTTTGGATTGAAAATCTATTTGGATCAAATTTAGGATTGTCGGAACTAGAATTAAAATCGGAATTGGAATGATCTATTCTATAACCTGTTTGGTCAAGACAGGAATCGATATTAGAATTTGAGTCAATTGAAATGGGATTTCATTTCTCAATAGAGGAGGGAGGAAATGGCCATTCCCTCGAATGGGGAATGCCATTCTGTCAGAAATGAGAATAAAGTTCTAATTCTGTCCAATCAAATAGTTGAAATTGGAATGGCCAGACCCCTATTCCTGCGAACCAAATAGGCTCTTAGATGAATGACTTAGATTTGGTCATGGTTAACCAGCAGAAACTACCTCGGTTTTGGAAGTTGTTATTTGACCCTCATATTTTAACCGGAGATGATCAGGTGCCTACTGTCTGTCTAGTATATTATGATGTCCAAAAGATGTGTTGTGGAAAATTTAGGGGGTACTTGCATCTGGCAATTAATAAATCAGATACTCTTGGGGAATGTTCAGTAGTGTGATCTCTATAAGCTATTGATGTAACCGTTTCTGGTCACGTACCATTTTTTGTGATGTATAAACTTTTTGGCTAAGTACCTCGTTGTTTGACCTGGTGGTGACGTGCCTTGGTGATGAGCTACTTGGTGGCGAACTGCCCAGTGGCGAGCTCCCTGGTGGAGAGCTACTTGGTGATGAACTGCCTGGTGGTGAACTGCCTGGTGGCGAACTGCCCAGTGGCGAGCTGCTTGGTGGCGAACTCCCTGGTGGCGAACTGCCTGGTGGCGGACTCCCTAGTTGCGAACTGCCTGGTGGCGAACTCCCTGGTGGCGAACTGCCTAGTGGCGAGCTACCTGGTGGCGAGCTGCTAGGTGGCGAACTACCTGGTGGCGAACTCCCTGGTGGCGAACTGCCTGGTGGACTCGTCACTTGACTTGCTCCTAGGTGGCCTGCAACTCAGAGGATGGTGGCGCTCCCTAGTGTAGCGCAACCCGACTACCCTCCGCGTGAGGTGATTTCCTCTCCTTTGTAGGCGGC